CGTGACCTCCGAGCTGATCGATACTTCAAATCAGACCGGGTTCTACAAAAATTTAACCACTACATGATATCTGATATATACTTAATTTTATATATAACTTTTCACACGCTTGTGCGAGAAAATTTTTTTAACAGTTAAGCCATGAATTTATACAAATAATTTATTAATGTTTTTCATATGAATACAATAAAATAAATACATTATATAGAGATTCTTCATTGCAACCAGAAGGCAAGTCTTGATCCACGGGGAGGATCCCAAGTTTTTTGTTGCCTTCTAGCTCTTAAAGCTTCCTGACAAGCTATTGTTTCAGTAACCAAAGTTTGTTTAAGTTTTTTATATACTTCATAAAAATTATCATTTTGAATATTATCTAAAACGATGGTTATTAAATATTCAAACATCTTTTTATCCTCTTCTAGTTCCGCTTTTCTAGATTCAATCAATTCATTTTGACTACAAAGAGCTAACTTTACATCACTTGAAATTTCAGGTTCATCCGAAAAACTTTCAATACCTTCGTCATTCCAGGGATTATTTGTTGGCTCAATGGTTGGAAGGTTATCTATATCAAAACAAATAAATGGATAGTCGTGTCTTCGTTTTGTGGTTATGAATTTAGGAAAGGAATTCGGATATAGAGTGGTATAATTTTTAACTAGGTGTTTACACACCATATAATTATTTTTAAGGAATGCAAGACATGAACATATCCATTTATTTGTATCGGTAAGGTATTCTCCTTCTACACTAACTTCTTTTTCCAAAGCGGTTTTCCAGTCACTTATAAATCTTCCCCACCAGCGTGGAAATATGCGATTATTATTAACTTTGTTCCAATTATATATTTTGTCTGGAATTAATTCTTGTGCTATAATTTGTGTTAAGTGATCCAGACGAGGTCGATTGGTGCTATATTTATAATCGTACTTGAAAGCATGCCAATGTGACTCCACTAGCATGGTGGTTCTTGCTAGTGGTAATGCCTTGGAATAAGAAGCCCGAGAAAAGAGGTTCCAATAATTTTTTTTATACCAGTTAACCCACAAATATCCCCACAAGTGAACGAGATTCTTATTTTTACAATACTCATATGCTTTTCGAACACTTTGACGATAAATTTCAGCAGAGGTAAGAAATAGCCCTTTGTTAATCGGAATAAGAGGATGTAATGATGCATGTATCTTAATCATTTTTAAAATTTCTTTTATATTTTCTTCAGAACATATGACGCCTTCTTATTCATCAGGGAACCAAAATTCGTCAATAAACTCAAACTGACTCTTAGCATCGTTGGCCACCTGTGATGTATATTGGCTGGCTTTATATTTTTTTTCTTTTAACTTTCTAGCAATAGCACGTTCAGTGTGCCACGAACAAATCTGAACTTTTGGAATTTGAGACCAAGCTCCTCCTATAGCCGCTAATTCACCAGCATCTTTATCCGTAAGTATAAAGCTGGGTCGAATTCTATATACAAATAGTCAATGTTATTAGATTATTTGAAGAATTATAGTTATGCAAAATAAAAATCTGTAAATAATACTTATAGATTTATTTTATAGGATTCAATTTATTACATACTATTAATCGAATCCTATAAAGTATTCTTAAGGTATATGCTTACAGATTTTTATTAATACTATTTAAATATTTACCCTTCATCTCTTAGTAAAGAAAAAAATTCTTTTAGGACTAATACTCACGAATGAATTTTATTTCTTGGATCTTGTAGTAATTCCACTGGTGCCGTAAAAGTATGGAGATATAAGTATGCGAGTGGGACTCCGAATCTACCACAATTGTTTAAGACAGCAAAAAGCTCAAATTTTTCCTTATTAGTCTTAAACGTCGAATCCAAAATAATTTCAGTGATTTTATTTGTTGGTATATAGTGGAAGAAAGGTGTAATAAACCCGAGAGATCTAACAAAGTCATTTTCTATACATAATAGGACTTTATATCCTTGGTCAACTAGTTCATTTTGATCCAAGAAATTGCGAGCTGAAAGGAGCTGATTAGAGATGTTCGTGACATACTGTTGGGCAAAAAATTTTGTAACCCAATAGTATACTTGTTGATAAGTGTGTATGTTTGGGTTGATAAGTTTTTCCTCACGAAGCCTTTTATAAAATTCGATCTTCCTTATATTTTTATTTATATTACGCGATATCCAGGCTATAGCATTTTGGGGCAAATTATTATCGCGGTAAGTAGGAAATGTATGAGCTATTAAATGTTCAAGATATATATTAACTTGACATTTATTAATGTCAATATTAAGCTTAATATTCCTGCCACATCGATATCGGTCAATTTGAGGTCTTGCTTCGCTTACTCTTTTTACTTGCTGACTATCCAGATGTGTACATTTACACTCTTCCCTTTGAGCACAGCCAAGATATACAGTTGCTTCACCAGTTGATTGATTATTCTTCTTATGAGAGTAGATTTTTCTTATTTCCCAATAGTAACGCGATCCAGTTTCAATAGATATGAGAAGCGATTCAGCTATATTACGGTATATAATCTCTTTATTGCTTTCTTGATTTTCACTTGATATATTATTAATAAAGTCATTATCAAATTTTAACATTCCAGAGAAACGTAAACGATCATTTTCTTCAGGGTTTTCAAAACAATTTGCTATTAGGTTTTCTGCATCTGTAAAACTAAACCAAGCTATATCCTCATTATTGTCAATTTCATTAATTATCGTATCCGAATCATAATCTTCAGTAACATTTAAGATTTCCTCTATACTTGTTGCTTCACTAACAGATTTTTTTCCTTTCTTGGTATCTGCGCAGTCATTACAATTAGAAAATTCCTTCATTTTATTTCCTCTTAGTCGAACAAACTCATCACGTGTCTTCTTCTTGTCACAGCGGGAACATCTTTTACTATTATCCGAAAATTCCATGATATTATAGAAAGGTATGTAAAAATTATTGAGATTAAACTATAGCGAGGGCAAGAATAAGGAATATTATAGTGTAGCGATTGTAAAGGCGAATGGTTGCTAAAAAGTATAGAAATGTGAAAAGAGAGTATAATAAGTTGACTAGATAGTGTAATGATAGTAAAGATAAGTGGTTGCTAAAAAAATGAAATAAAAATTGTAGATAGCAGAGGTATATAGTTACGCAGTTCAAAACATGTATGACGATGTTTTTAATTAAATAAAGTTCGATTTAAATTAAGCAAGTGTTATTGTATTATTTAGTTTCACCTTTTTATATTAAAGGTATCCATTAAATAATTAATTTATTTAGAAGATATTGCACATTTAATTTATTTTAATTACGAAGATTACGCGTTTATTTAATTTCGAAGATATTACGCAATTTATAAGATATTAATTACATTTAATTTAAATTTTTAAAGAATTATACAATTTCTAAAGTACTATTTAATTTAACTTCAAAGATATTAAGCATTTAATTTCTAAGACGTTTATTTAGCATCCTATTTCGCATATTAATTTTTACATATTAATAATTTATTTCATGAATCTTTAATTTCGATGTTAATTTCAAAATATATTACATATTAATTTTTTGCTACATATTACATCTAAATTTGATATTAATGATTAATTTCGAAAATACTCGATAAATTATTGAAGATAAATTACCAAATTTGTCATATAGCGGTAAATCAGTAACATTGAATTTTCGCTTATTTAAATAGATCTACGAAGTGATTTCCCGATGTATACCACTCCGATTTAGCTCGGAGGTCACGGGACCGCCAATTTTTTGCGCCATCACTATTTCACTC